GGTTAGAATTATATCATGCCACCTCAAGTTCTCCTGGAACTCTTCTAGTATCCAGCAATGAGACCGGGAACATCATCAGTTTATACCTTGGGACTTTTGAATGGGTATTTGTTTTAGTCTTTATTTTTCTGAAGCTTCCTAGTGCCTCATAATACATGGCACATATATGTTCTGGATAATACATGCAGAATCAATAAATAAAGCAACATTTACTATTAATGAAAGGCCAGTGAATCTTGGTATTGCTTGACCATGTAAGCATAAAGATGAACATAGCCTGGAGGGGAAAGAGTCTCTCTAGCACACTGAACCATTTTTCAAGGACAACTGAGGAGCGGGCCTAACAATGCCAGCTAATGCCAAAGGATAATCACTAGTAGAATGGGTGTTGTCTCAGTGAGGAATGATAACCAAACTGCTAGATCAAAAAAAAATGGATAAAAAATATGGGTAAGTGGAGGAGCATATTGTCTCTCTCTGAAAGAACAAAAGAAGGGGGTTGTAAGCTTCCTGGGAGCAGGGCCCCTGTTTTCTATTCTTTGTGTCTCCAGCATTAGCCAAGGTCCTAGCCTAATATAAGTAAGCTTCAACATATGTTTGTGGATGAATAAATGAATTAATCACTGCCCACTTGATACAGAACTGAATTGCAGAAGCTATTCCAAGAAGAAAGGCAAGGTTCCATAGATTCTATAGCCTGCTGAGAAGCTAGAATAACTATCAGGACTATGATTAATTAGCTAAAGGGTCAGAGACTTCTTAGGCCAAGGGGACCAAGGTGTCTATCGATGTCTAGGGTCTTGGAATTACTAAAGGAAGGATAACTGCCTTTGACTAGGCTATGAATAAATCAAGGGGCTCTTTCTCCAGAAACATAGATTCATTACCACCCAGGGCCTTCAGATAAGCATGGGCAAATCCTAACCCTAAGAACAGCAGGGAAGTCCTCAAACTCCTATTCATTTTCAACAGAGTCTGGTGTTTAGAATGAGGTAAGGGAGTAAATGTGGGCAAAGCTAAAACAGATTTGGAGAAATAAAAACAAGTTTTTGTATCTTAATGGTTTTTAAAAAATTAGTCGCAAGGATTTTATGCTGTATTACTTTATTTGGTTAATTTGTTACAGGATTATGATTTTATAACTATGTCATGCCTAATGTTCTGCCATTCAAGTGACATCCAGAATGCATACTCCTTAGCTTGGCATAAAAGCTCTGTGTGGCATTGCTATCAAATTAACAACTTTTCCAGAATCATGTCAGATTCTCTTCATATGCAATGTACACGCCAACTGTACTAAATTTCTTTCAGGTCTTGGTAAATTTGCATATGCCATTTCCTGTGCCTGTGAGGAAATGTTTGCTCCAAACCAGAAAACTCCTATTCATTTATCAAGATCCAATTCCAGTATTTCTTCCTCATCATCAACTCTCTGAGAAGAGTTAATTATTTCCTCCTCTGTGTATTTGAACATATTTCTATTTTTAAGAATAACGTATCCCTTTGTTTTATAACCATTTACTTACTTTTCAACTCATGCACTAGGCTGTCAGCTCCAAAATGGCAGGATGCAACTTTCATTTTGTCTGCCTCACCCTAGTTCAACAAATAGTCACTGACTGCACAGAAACACCTTTGCACATGTATTTGTGAAGTTATTGCCAAATAATATATCAGATATCATTGCTTCAAAGTAATTAACATTTAATAAAACAACTTGCAAATAAATTGTTAAAGATCACAGTATGAACTTGGCCCCCACGTGGTTTTGTCTACATTTAGTTATGATGGATGTTTGCTCTGGCATGTGGGGACCCAGGAGGAATTAAATCCTTTTTACCTGTTATTACGTCTATGTAGTCTGCCATGAGAAATGATTTTTTTCTAGTCTAAAGGCCTATGCTGAAAAAGCCACGTTTTTGGTGATTTCATTAACATTTAAAAATGTTAACAATTCTGTCAGCCTAAACTGAAAGTGACTGTGTGAGAAATGAAAGCTTGCATAACTCTGACACTCGATATTCATGGCTCATTATCCTCATGACTTTCATTATGCAGTGAGGAAGTAGGGTCAGCCTCACAAAATTTAGGAATAATTAAGCAAATTACTATATGGAGATGTGACTTATGGACTGAGAATAACGAACTTTCTAAAAAGACTGTATTCAACAAAATAAATAAGGATGATGAAAAATCCACAGATGTTTTATAGCTTAAGGCAGCTTTTCAGTTATTCATTATAAAGACTCCTTGAAGGCTTTTCCTCACTTCCCTTGACCCTTTCCTGAACACTTTGAAACTTTCTCTTGACTATATTCCTCAGGGAGTTCAAGAAGTCCTAGGCGTATTTCCTGAAGTTCTTTAAGTTCAGTCTCAAACACATCCACAGAGATGAAAATATTGTTGCTGACCTGTATACACTGTGAATTGCTTCCAGGCTCCAAACCTCACACTCATCTTTCACAACTTTCAAAGTTTGTGGAATAATCATGTGGAAATAGCCACAAGGTCAGAGGTTATCTGCTAACCTAACATCCTATCAAAAAAAAAAAAAAAAAGGAAAAGAAAACCAGATGGTATCTAGGTAAGTTAAAAAAACTGTTTTTAATTTAGACAAAATTTTATTTATCTGTTAACCACCCATTATTCTTCTAGAGCAACAGATGGTGTAGGATGTAAATATAATATAAAATTTCCTTTTCTTTCTATGTTAATTTCAATAAATGTCTATTAAGTAGCTGCTATATGCCAGGCATTAAACTAAGTTCAATAGTATCTCCACTTAATAGAATTTATATTTTAGTTCAGAAGTCAGACACATAGACAAATAATGATGATGGAATAGACCAAGTACCATCATATAATTTCATGTACAAAGTGCCATGGGATCTTTATAGAAGGAGGCACATAACTTTAACATAAATTAAATTTTGAGGAGCCAGAAAGATCAGTTTGATCTTGATAAAATGAACCCCTAAAGTATATACAACCCAAGTCAACAAATATTTCTGTAGCTTCTAAACATTTTTAGGATCCAAACAGAATTATTTTTCTTGTGCTCTCCATTTTATATGAGACAGAAAGACATTAAAAAATTTAATATAGTTTTCACAAGTGGTTTTTCCTGTCTATTGTTTAAGATTGTCCTTCCAAAATAATGACTTTTTGAAATTATAACTAAAGGCTTTGCTTATATTTTTGTTATGAAGGAGGATGTTTCTTATCCCAGATAAAGTCCTGAGCCTCAGTGAAGTGCTAGTTGAAAAACAGTAGATTAGGACTTCCCTGGTGGCGCAGTGGTTAAGAATCTGCCTGCCAGTGCAGGAGACATGGGTTCGAGCCCTGGTCTGGGAAGATCCCACATGCCGTGGAGCAACTGAGCCCGTGCGCCACAACTACTGAGCCCGCGTGCCACAACTATGAAGCCGGCGCACCCTAGAACTTGTGCTCCGCAACAAGAGAAGCCATCACAATGAGAAGCCCGCACACCACAACAAAGAGCAGCCCCCACTCGCCACAACTAGAGAAAGCCCATGCACAGCAATGAAGACCCAATGCAGCCAAAAAAAAAAAAAGATTAAAAAAAAAACCAGATTAGTTGTGGATAGTGGCTATAAAATAAAACATGCATAGACCTTATTTTTTTTTCATAGACTTTAATCTTGAGGAAATTCAAATACATTATGGAAAAAATGGAAAGTTCAGTTGATGATAGGACATCCAATTTTATCATTTATAGATTCCTAATAAGTGAGTTTTTGAGATATTTTATTTTATTAACATTCTTTAAGGAGTGTGTAGGCTGTGCTTAAACTCTGCCATATATATGGCATTTAGCATGTTGCCTTGTGCATAGTAGGTGCTCAGTCCGTCCATGTGAAATTAAATGTAAAATGCTTGGCACTTTCTGATCTTTCCTCAAACGTTCATGTCTTTTAAAAGGCAAGACACCATGAGGTTACCTTGTGCTCCTCAACACAGTCAGATGTCCCTGTTCGAAGAGGACTTCCTAAAATGGGGCCAGACTATAGCTAAGCCTTCATCTCTGAAATAGCAATAATTCTCTGATTTGGCCTCTCTGACCATAGGTGGTCCTTTTCAGGAAAAAAATCTAGGCCCCTGTAAAATATCCTTTAAGGATTTCTCCTTTTTCCAGGGATCATGAAAACCATGTCTATAGGATGAATTATTCTTTAACTTAAACAGGCTTTTTCATTCTAGATTCTGAACCAGATTGAGGAACTGGAAAAGAAAGGTAGCTAATTTTAAAAAGTATATATATATATATATATATATATATATATATATATACACATTTTACTCTTGTGGAACTCTTAGTTCTATCTATCTATCTACTTACCTATCATCTACCATCTACCTATCACAACTCCTCCATGGATAGTAGGATCTACTGTTATATCTTTTTACATAAATGGGTATAGGACATAGGAAACTAAGGCTCAGAGAAGTTAAATCACTTGACCAAGTCATGCAAAGCTAAAATTCAAGCATAGGGAGTCTGGCTCCAGGGTCTATGTCTTTAGTCACTTCTCTATTCTGCCTTATTCATCATAGCCTGGGAGTAGAGAGAAAAGTCTATCTCTAGCGTGACTAATTTTTTTCTCTGTATAGATTTAGAGAGATTTGTCCAAGTCTTTTGATATAGGAAAGAGTGAGCAGGGATGGAAACATTTGTTGTGCATCTACTATGAGCTGAGCAGTGTTAGGTACTTTTCATATAGAATTTTGTGGTGTCTTTATTATAATATATCAAGCTATTTAATATTATCTTAGTTTACTAATGAGAAAACTGAGGCTCAGAGTTTTTAAATAGCTTGCCAAGAACACATAGCTAGTATGGGACTAAGCCAGGATTTAAAAGTGGGACTGAGGATTCCCCACTATATGCCATGTGCTTTCTGCAAATGGGATAGATAGGGAGATTTTATTTCCTATCACAGTCCTATGACTGGGGATGTAAACCAGGTCTTGCATCCTACCTTGATAAATATTGTCCTGAAGTGAGATTTGCAGTTTCCACATCCATGCAGTTCATCGTGCTGGGAATGAGAGCAAGTTCTGGCTGGATCATGGTGGCTGTGGCTACAGCTCTTGCAACCAGTTCCATGGCATCTTGTACATAGTACTCAAAGACAGACTGTGTTGTTCTTCCATGAGCAATGAGCCCTAAGGGCAGACCTTCTGTCCTCAGTTGCTCAACATTCTGGGCATCCCCCAGCACCCAATGAAGCTCAGGGGCTGCTACCCCAAACTGGGTGGTAATTTCGAAAATCCGCCGGATACTTTCCATGTCGCAGCCAAACATCACCATTGTGGGCGTACTGTTCTTAACGCTCTCAAGCTGGACCTGCAGGAAGCTCAAGAGGTCCTCAGTGGAGGAGAGGTTGATGGTGATGTTGATGATAGAGCCCAGGTGGAACTTGGAATTATTCTGGGTAAGGACGAGGAAGTCGGTGATGTTCCAGTCTTCCTGGCACAGCAACAAGCTAAAATTGTACCAGTTGTTCATGGTCAGGATTGAGACAGTGACATCAGCATCAGAACTTAATGAATTTTCTAAACTCAGTTGGAGGTGAAGGGGATTCTGTATTTAAAGATATGAAAAAGAAGAATTAGAAAGTAATGGCCAAAGATTATAATATAGGGTACTTTTGCTTTCTTATGAGGCTTCATCTTTTATTTTTCCCTATGATATTCAAGTGCCTCTGGGATAAAATTCCCATAATTTTGAAAGCTATGTTTCCTGTCTAATGGGATTGATTCCTTACAACTGATTTCCTTATAATTTTTGCTCAGAGTACCAGAGGGCAGATGATTCTTGGTGTAAATGTCAGGGGTGACACAACTGTACATTTAGTCTTAAATTTTTATCAGGCTTGTCTACTTCCTACAGACAGTCTCCTTTAGGCATCCCGTTTCTAACTATCCCTCTTCTTAACTCATTTGTTCAATTTTCCTGTCAGGTGAAATAATTTAAAGAAATTACTTTTGATTTCCTTTAAAACTACTAGTAGAAAAATCTTAAAACAGTGCAGGTGCTTGTATTAAGGATGGTGTGGAAAAAGGATGCATCATAGTTTCCCAAACTTCTAGCCCCTGAGGAAGGCACATTTAATATATGTGGTGCTATGTTTGAATGTTTATGTTCCCCAAAATTCATATGTTGAAATCCTAATCCCCAATGTGATGGTATGAGGTGATGGGGCCTTTGGGAAGTAATTAGGTCATGAGGGCAGAACCCTCATGAATGAGATTAATGTCCAAGAGGCTCAAAAGAATTCCCTTACCCCTTCCACAATATGAGGACACAGTGAGAAGCTGGCAGTCTGCCACCATGCTGGGACCCTGATTTCGAACTTCTAGCCTCCAGAATTGTGAGAAATGAAATTCTGTTGTTTACAAGCTACCCAGTCTGTGTTACAGCAGGCTAAATACACTAATACATATGGAATAATTAACAATATACTTATAAAAATTAAATACATAGGCTAATATTGAAGGTTTGATTGCATTTCTGTATCTACTGAGACTGGATTCTTGCTGTGAAGGGTGAAATGTGTGCCATTTAAACACATATATGTAACTTCCACCACAATTTCATCTACTTATAGAGCTCACCAACTCAATGAAAGAAAAGTATCTTATTTGAAAAAATCACAAACTATTAATTATATAGATGAAGTGGAAATAGTCCTCTAATGAATGAATCTGTTAATTGTTCTGAGAGTAGACATTTGACATATTTATCCTTTAACACTGACATCCTGAGGATGGTTAGCACAATGCTTTACACAAGGTAGTGTACAATAGACACAGTCCAAATTGACTAAATATGGTCCCATTTTGGAGCTATTAGACTATTGAACTATTTTTGAGAACTTGCCAAACATTCAAGTCAATAACATGAGGAGGGCTTTCGCAGTAAAATTTCATGCCCTTGTACAAAAGGAAAGAAGTGTAGCCTTCCTTTATCTACCAAAAAGTGTATAACAAGAAATAGAGTTTGAGTTGAACTTTGAACTCTTTGAAGGGTTAAAAGCATTCTGATATGTGTAGAATAAGGAGTGAGGATTCCAAAGGAATTTATGGGCGAAAAACTATTACCAAAGGCAGTAAATGAGAGTAATCATAATGGTAAGGAAGAGGGAGTCTTAAAATTTATTTTGATAACTTGACTTTTGTCCTTCTAAATTAAGCTTTTGAGCAGGACTTGTAATGATAAAACCAGAGCTTTTGGAGGATCATCTATTGGTAGCATTCAAAAGGAAGAGGGAAAACAAGCCTTCTAGGATTTCGATAAGGTGCTAAGGGTTTAAACTGGAAGCCAGTGTTGGTAATGATAGGAAGAGTGATTTAAAAAAAGGTTTTTTTAAAATTAAAATTTAGTGACAAGGTCAGATGTAAGAAGCAAAAAGAGAAAGGTGTCAAAAAACCAGGAGGTAGGTAGTTCCTGTTTCTAGGCTTGGGATGCCATATAAGATAAAGGACCAGAAGCTTCATTTCCTCACTCTTACTACTGATGAATATAAATTGCTCCAGAGAGTTCTTTCTTTCCTCCTCTTTTAACTTTCTTCCTTTCCTTCCTTTTTATATCCTCCTGTGCCTTAACCCTCTTCCAGAATCAGTGAGCAATGGAAGGCAAGCTATACATTTAGCTGGCAGGAACAAATTATTCCCAACTGTTTTCTTGGCCTCAGTTCCCTATTCTGTTGCCAGTTTTCTTTCTAAAACATAAATATGACCATATCATTCTTCTGCACCATAACCTCTGAATCACCCATAGGACAAATTTCAAACTTCACCTGTAACACTCCAAACATGTACCCCAAGACAGGTCATAGTAGACAAATTATTTTTCTTGTGTCAGAGTGAGCATGTTCACATCTACACAAATTTGATACGCTGAATTCTCCACCTGTGAATGTACTTGCCTATATTCATATTCATCCTTCAGAACTCAACTCTTGCATGCAGATTTCCAGAAATTAGCTTACGTTCCACTTACTACTGTTTCTGCTGCTGAGCTTTTTTCCTCGCAGTATTTTTGCCCTTTTGATTTCCTGCAATGGTGAACTGGGTTTTTGTTTGACTGCCCCTCTGACTGTTGCCCAAGCAGAATTAATCGTCTCATGTCTGTGTCAGGGTGTCATTTTGTTCATCCCTTTATTACAGCACCCTTCATACCGTAAGTTAGTTATTTGGTTAAGTGCTTATCTCCCACACTAGACTGGAAGCTCCTTTAGGATAAGGATCATATCTCAATCATCTCTTCTAACACAGTTATTAGTTAACCAGAGATAGTATTTATCAACTGGAATTTTCTTTTGTCCATCCTGGGCTATGATCATAATCTTGTCACTGAAAGACTGAGAAGAAAACCATTTCCAGCAGAGCTGCACGACCCAATATTTTGCCCCCAGTGGGGACAAAGGCCCATCTATCCACTTCCTACAGAGAGATTCATTAAATCAGTATGTGAGGATCATGTTCTAATGGAGGCAGAGATGAAAATGTTCTCCTCTTGCTAAACAGGGAAGTAAAATTAGCTAATCACATTGAGCATTCAGCACCAGAGAGACAAATGCATTTGGCATGAGAGAGTGACAGAGGAGTAAAATGAAAGCCCCTCCCCATGGATTATGTGATCTGTATAATCACACTCATCCCTACAAACAATTCTAGTAAGAAAGTCTAGATGTCGAAGTTAATCCTTACACGAATTTAAGGAACACAATTCTTCAAATAAATATTTATTAAATAATAGTTTAGAAACATCTAGTGATATTGTATTTATCTGGCAGCCTCAGAAGCAAAATCTCCTAATTTCTCTCCATATAATAATCAAGGGAAAGGTGCGTGTACGTGTGTGTGCATGACACACACACACACAGATATGAAAACTTAAAACAAAAAATTCAAGCCTAATGGTAAAACTTTCATCAAAATCTGGGACAAAAATTAAACAAGAGCTATCAAATGAAACTGAGAATCAAAATCTATGTCTGAGAGATAGTTTGCTGCTTGCAGAAGAACAACCCATGGCCTGAAGGAAGGTATAATTTAAAAAAAATTTTCTACATTGTTTATCTCCTAAATCAGAGATCCAATAACAAAACAATTTGAGTTAGGAAGCCTCTCTCAACCATGCTGACAGTAAAAACTGCTTCATAAGTGCATTCAATTTATATAAATTAAAATATACAGGCTCAGGAGGAGGTAGGGGGAGAGAAAAATGAAGTAGTACTGATAATTCTAATTATCCTAAGTGAGTATATTCTTTATTACCTATGACTATTATATATAGGTATTATGTATTGTAATAAATACATGTTATTGTACACAGTTATATACACAAAATCATATATGCCAAATTAAATAGGTAATTTTTAAAAACTGAAGTATAGTTAATGTACAACATTATGTCAATTTCAGGTGTGCAACAGTGATTTGACATTCAAATATATTATGAAATGATCACCATAATAAGTCTGGTAACCATCTGTCACCATTCAAAATTATTACAGTATTAGTATTATTGAATACTATATTCCTTAAGCTGTCTAATACTTCCTCATAAGTTATTTATTTTATAACTGGTAGTTTGTATCTCTTAGTCTCTTTCACCTATTTCATCCAACCTCCACCCCAACCTCTGGCAACCACCAGTTTGTTCTCTTTATCTATGTCTGTTTCTGCTTTGTTTTTGTTTGTTGATTCGTTTTGTTTTTTAGATTCCACATATAAGTGAAACCATATGGTACTTGTCTTTCTCTGTCTGACTTACTTCACTTAGCGTAATACCCTCTAGACCCAACCATGTTGTCACAAGTGGCAAGATTTCATCCTTTTTTATGGCTGAGTAATATTCCATTGTGTGTGTGTGTGTGTGTGTGTGTGTTTGTGTATCACACATCTGCTTTATCCACTCATCTTTTGATGGACACTTAGGTTGCTTCTATGTTTTCGCTAACTTAAGGAATTTTCTAATGTAATTTTCTGATACTTTGAATTGAGTCTTTATTTCGAAGCAAGATAACACGCCTCTCCACTCCACTCTCCACTGAGTTTTAGGGTTTTATTCCCATCATAATCTGCTTCTACATTATTTGGGGGCTGACATTCCCAAAAGTATGGGCCAGAAGTGTGGATGGGAAATGGCCATGTTGAAATGCACTCATGGAATGAAATCTCAACAAGTCAAGTGCAGAGCTGGAAGGAGAGAGGAGTTGCCAAGACAGCAGTGCAGTTGCCAGTGTCAGAGAATTGCAGAAGTGTCAGAGATTTATTCAATTGTGTAAGGGAAGATTGCTTTAGCTGTTATGGAGCACAGTGGATTTACAACTAGTAAAAGATTAAAATTCCACAGAAACAAAAACCAGGCGAGAAGGGTAAGAAAATGTGGAAAAATAAAAAGATAGAGGGGCTGTGCCTTAAGAGATATTAGAACACAACAGAAAATGCAATTTTTATATAACCATAATAATTAAAACAGGTAAGTATTAACAAAAGGATTAACAGGTAAATAAATAGAACAGATGTTAATGCACATTAAGAAGTACATTGATTTAATATACTATATTAATA